AAAAAAAAAAAAAAAAAAAACCCTAACTCAACAAAAAAGAAAGTACTGCTTCTGGAATAAATATCTCCATGAATCTCAACTGTAACATTGAGAAATTAGCCTTTTAGCCTAAACATGTCCACTGAACATTATATGGTTTTTTGTTTTTGTTTTTTTGTATTTTTGCAGAAGCAGGGATTGAACTTGGGCCCTTGCAGGTGCCAGGGAAACATTTATTCTACTGAGCTATCTCCCCGGCCCCAACATTATATGTTCAAGAGAATTCTAATTTACCCAGAATGTTTTCTTCTATTAAGTGTGTGACCCACCCCACCCTTGCCACTTTCTAGTGTCTCTGGGCATCCCCAATTGTAGCAGCAGATGCCGGGCTCCCACAGCTTTGAGGCCAGTTGCCATGTGTGTGCTCTCTAGATGCCTTCTGTTTGTCTGACAGCAAATCCTGGACCCATGGACTAGTTCATGACCGAAAGTTTACCAAAGTCACAGCCAGATTTTCTTTCTCAGTCTTTCTTTGGCTATCTCCCATTCTTGTTTTTGATGGTGGTTTGGGTTTTTTTTTTGGGGGGGGGGCTTTTTTTTTTTTTTTGGCAGAACCGGGGATTGAACTCAGGCCCTTGTGCTTGCCAGGGAAGCGCTTATTCCACTGAGCCATCTCCCCGGCCCCGTTTTGTTTTTTGAGATAGGGTCTCACTGTGTAGTTGAGGCTGGCCTTGAACTCAGTATTGTAACTCAGGCTGGCCTCGAATTCATGGTGATCCTCCTGCCTCGGCATCCCAGTGCTGGGATTACAGATGTGTGACACAATACCTGGCTTCTATTTTCCCCATTTTTTCTGTACCTGTTTTTTCCACCAAAACTTATTCTATATTCCAACATCATTAAGGCTCAGAGCTCTCCAGTGAAACCGAGTACCATACACACCTAGTTTAAAGGATTACAGTGGAGGGGTTAACACAGGGTCATGTCACGGCTGGTAAGATAGCTCAGTGGACTAAGCTCCTGCTTAGGCAAGCACAGGGACTGGGGTTCTATTCCCAACACCACAGGTCCCGCCTGCCTTGTTCCTGGGCATGCTGAGCCACCACAGATGCCTGTTAATCCCAGGGATTACTGAAAACAGGATCACTATGAGTCCAAGCTGCCTAGTGAAACCTTATACCAAATACATTATTTAAAAAAAAAAAAAAAAAAAACCAGGGGGCTGGTGAGATGGCTCAGTAATCTAAAGCACCTACTTAGAACAAGTTTAGCAAAGCACAGGGACTGCGGTTCAATCCCCCAGCACCACATGCCAGCCAGCCCCGCCCCCTGGTGGGCTGAGCTGGCCACACACACACACACACATAAATAAATTTTTTTAAAAAACAGGGTCTTGCCATGTATTTCTGTTTGGTCTTAAACTATGTATTCCAGACTTGCCTCAAACTTGCAATGACCTTCTGTCTCAGCCTCCAGAGTGCTAAGATTACAGGTGTGTGCCACCACACCCGGGTTAAGGTTTTTGCCCTCACATAATTTGTTAATGTTATTGATTGACTCTAAAGTTAGCTCACCAGTTAAACATTACTGGGTTTTGGGTGGTTCTCTCCTGCAGTTGGAGTCCAGGTTCTCGGGAACAACGAATTGAACAAAAATGAGCAAAAACCATTGCAAAGTCTATTTGAAGAAGTAGAAAGATGAGAAACTGGCTCTGCAGAGTGAACTTGGGCCACGCAAAGTAAAAGTACACCCTTGGGACTGGGTGTGGTGGTGGACACCTGTAATTCCAGTATTCAAGAGCCAAAGGCAAGATCTGGAGGCTAGCCTGCACTACAAAGCAACACCCTTCTCAAAAGTTCACCCTGTAGGAAAAAGAGCAAGCTCTTGTGAGGAAAGCCACAATAACAAGCTTCTCTCGTTGGCTGTGTCCTTTCATGCAGCCCAAATCTTCAGTAAACCCACAAGAACCTCTGCACAAGGATCCCGAGTGGCGGTGCTGACCTCAGGTCTAGGCCAGCCTATGGGAAACCTCAGGTTCCCCGTCAGGGCCTTGGGAGCTGTTGGGCACATGTGTCCTGTGATCTTGGCATTAACAGGTCATCCTTTAAGGTCACCAGCTAGTTTTTCCATGCTCTTATTCTGTCACTTAAGTCAATATTTTGAGAAGAATTCTAGTTAAGTAACTTTCACCAGTGAGAAGGACTAAATAATAACATGCCTGTTTCCAGGAGGTCCCCAGGTTAAAAGATTGTTAACTTAAATTTTGTAATTGACATTTCCAGCAAAGAAAAAGTAGTATTTCCTTCTTGGGAGGAGAAGGTGAGAAATTCCTGAGATCCTAACTTTGCCAGGCTTTACGAGAGCCCTTTTTACTCCTAGAAATTACTCTTTCTCAACAGAAAGACCTTGTTTGCTTGGGGCCTGGGGCTTGGGACTTCACTTAGCAAAACTGGCCAACATTTGCCCGCTTTCCTTGTCTCTTGTTTGGCCTCTACAGAAGATACATGGAGGTGTTCAGGGTACTTAGAGTGGTCAGAAGCTTGAATAAGTTCATACAGAAATTCAGCAAGTGTGGATTTGCACCTTCCATTTTGTCAGATGTTGTAACACTCCTAATCTCGAACATTGAGTGTGTTCACAGTGAGTACTGGGGGAGGGCATTAATGGCAATGTGCCTGTTTTATTATAATGTACTTTAAAAACATTTTCCAAGGCCGGGGAGATGGCTCAGTGGAATAAGCGCTTCCCTGGCAAGCGCAAAGGCCTGAGTTCAATCCCTGGTTCCCCAAAAATAAAAATAAAAACATTTTCCATATTTTCAATCATGTATATGTTTTAGACTTATATGTTTTATTTTCTAAGTCTGTGTACCTATTGCTTGGTGCACCTAACCAGTTAACAGAATACAACTAAGAATTTCTTTTGGTGTATCATTAAAAAACATAAAAGCTAAGTGTGGGAGCACAAATCTGTAATCTCAGCACTTGGAGGCTGAGACAGGGTTGTGAATTCAAGGCCAACCTGGGCATATAGTGAGTTTGAGGTCTGCCTTGTCAGCCTGAACTATACAGTGAGAACTTGGGGGTGGGGATTTGAGAGAAGGTCTCACACTGTAATTCAGGTTGGATTGGTGCTGTGCTAGCAGGCTGAGGGATCTGAAATGGAGCCAGGAAACAACACAGGACATGGTGGCACACCTGTAATTCCAGAGTTGGGAGGCTGAAGCAGGAGGATCATTGAAAGTTTGAGACCAGCCTGAGCGCTACATAGTGAGACCTTGTCTCAAAAAGACCAAAAAAAGAAAGAAAGAAAAAAATCAAAAACAAAACACACATGTGCATTGGTCTGGTGTTACACAGGAAGGGTCTGGGATGGAAGGGGTTGGTCAGGAGCAGATGTCCTGTGCTCAGGCCCTTCCACCCTGCCATGTGTGTCTGCCTGGCTTCCAGCTAACCATGCACTGAAAGCATGAGCCAAAATAAACCTCTCCTCCTACAACTTGTGGATGTTAGGTATTGTGTCCCTGCAACAAGAGGATGACTAAGATATATACTCTATACCTAATGATCTTACATTTTTAGATCTTAGATGTTCTTACCCAGGGACTTCCAGAGATGGTGGGGGTAGTGGAGACCAAAGACCTGTGGTGTTAGAGGCCTAAATGCCAAGGCTAAGACATCCTGAGGCTGCCACCAGCAGGGAGGGTAGAGGCCAGACGTGCCAGGCCCAACACTGCTGCTGGTAGCAGCACAAGAGATAGAAGGCTGAGCCCCAGAGAGGTTGGCAGTAGGGTGCCCTAAAAACAGCCAAAGCTGTGGTGGACCTTTAGAAAAGTGCCAGGGGGCCTACAAGGCTCGACCGCTGTGGGGCTGATGAGCAGCTAGAAGCCTGTAACATCAGAGACTAACACTGCACTGTAACAGTAAGAGCTAAGAGGCACTGAGTGCTGATAGCCACTGGGACTCATCATAGCCAGCATAGGTGGTCTTGTTTTTATTTTGCAGATGATAAAAGAGGCTAAAAGATCCAAGAAGCTTGCTCTGAATCCCACAGAAAAGTAATGGGACTGCCAACACGTTTCTGGACTCAAGCCTCTGAGCTCTCATTCCAAGGGCATGAACTCTTCAAGGACATTGAGCCCTCACAGAGGAGGAAATTCATACCCAGGAAACAGGAGCAGCTCTTGTCCTTCCCCTCAAAACCCATTCTTCCCTTTCTGCCCTGTTCACCGACACCCAGAAGAGAAAGGGCTGGGCAGTATATTACATGATTCATACGTAGGCAGTTATTCGCTACCAACTTCTTTACTATGAAACTAGAATCAAAATTGACACCCCTTGCCTTTATTTTTTAAAGAGAAGACAGTTAAATATAAACAATACAGAATTTCACTAAACACTAGTCAACAGTTGTTATATTGCACATTGTTGTCTTCAAATTAGTTCAGATTACCAGACACAATCATGCAAAATTGGTCAAAAATTATAAAAAATTAACAAGGAGAGAAAAATTTAAACATTAAGTATTCCTTTCAATAGACCAGCAGGAATTAGCAGTACAATTATCCAAGCTATCCTATATTTATACATTTTTTCCTTTTCCCCTTTTTCTTTCCCTCATCCGTTTTTCTTTCCCTTTGAACAGTTTCTTTCCCTTTCACAGTATCTATTATACCTTAAAGTATGCATGAACAAAATATTCCCCACACTGTATTACTAGTGGAAAAACCCAGATATTTAAAAGAATCTGAGGGGCTGGTGAGATGGTTCAGTGGTCTGAAGCACCTACTTAGAACAAGCTAAGCTAAGCAAAGCACAGGGACCATGGTTCAATCCCCCAGCACCACATGCCAGCCAGCTTCCGCCCCCTGGTGAGAATCTGAGTGTACCTTTATATTATGTAAACCAATTTTAGTGAAGAACCTAGAAAGCTACAGACTATATTTTTAATAAAATCTGAGGAAAAATAAAAAATAAAATCTGAGGATTTAATTGTAAGAGCCCAAACAACAGTTTAGAATCATTTAGCAAGTGATAATTTTCTCCCTCCAAAAAGTTAATTCTGAAAAATATGGCTAAGTTTTAAAAGTTGCAATGTGTAGGGCCAGCCAGATAGTTCAGCGAACTAAAGCGCCAGCGCAGCGACCAGGTTCGATCCCCAGCATGCCATGCCAGACTGAGACTGAGCGTAGTGGTGCACACCTGTAATCCCAGCTCTTCGGAGGCTGAAAACCAGAGGATCCCTATGAGTCTGATTTGTAGTGAGACCCTATAGAACCTGTACTGAAATACAAAAATAAAGTTGCAATGTGTAAACAGCAGTTCCATGAGATGTGAAAAGATCATAATTACTTTCATTAAAAAACTGCATATTTCAGAAAAATGGCTTGAAACCTGTACAAAAAGCTATTTAAGGGGCTGGAGAGATGGCTCAGTGGTCTAAAGCACCTACTTAGAACAAGCTTAGCAAAAGCATCAGGGACCGCGGT